CCCCCACCCACCCCCACCCACCCAGCCCGCCCGCCCCACCCAGAACATCTTCAAACTTGCAACTGAAACGACTCACCCGGTTTGCCTGTGAACCCAAGCCTCAAATCTCAGGTGACGGCTAGTGGAGGCTTGTAGCAGAAGCGATGTGCTCAAGAGGGGGGATCTACAAAGTTCCACAGCTCGAGGGACTCTCGTCTCGGCACACTGGCATTCACGAGCCTTCGTTGTGTCAGCTGAGCGCAGTTCTCGGCCAGGAGGCACCCACCAAGCCGGCCAAAAAGCCAGCGAAAGCTGCAGAGCCGGTAAGACCGGCGGAGGCCCAGCCGCGCAAGTCTCATGGTCATGCGCCTCACGCAACCGGAAACCGGAAACTCTGCCAGGTGCCAGCACCGGCTCCGGTTCCCCAGCAGAGCGAGGCGGAGGCCGAAGACGCCGCCGGCGACCTCAAGGCCCAAACCCTCCCAACGCCTCCCGGGGCCCGGGGCCGGTAAAACCAACTTTTTTTTCGTGACAGGCTGCGGACTCGGAGCCTTCCGCACCCCTGCAGAAAGCTGAAGCCACATCTGAAACCGCAGCTCGTCGGCAAAAAATCGGATTCAATTGCTACGCCGGGCGGGGCTCGGAGGCAATCTTGCCTTGCTCGCCTCCTGCCAAAGGCTGGAGAACAGTCCCCAGGCGATGAAGACGAAGAGGAGGAGCAGCTGCAATCTCAAGCTGTGCAGCATGGGAGAGCAGACTGCGTAGATAGGCCCTGCCTCTAGTATCCAGAAGATGAGCTTGCTTGATACATCCTGTTCCCAGAGACTGGCAGTTCATGTGCTGATGCTCGGGGGCACTATAATATATATATATATATATNNNCAACGCTCATATATATATATATATACTATACTATATACACTATATTATATATATAGACTAAAATTACTACCGCCATGGATCAAGCTGGCCTGGAAGAGGACTCCAAGAGCAAGCCGCGAGCAAAGAGCAAGGCAGCAGCGAAGGCGCGAAAGCGTAGGAGCTCGGCACTTGCTTTCGCGTTCCAGTTGGGGGTTTCCGAAGTTAAGGGCTACCCTATTTTGGGGTCTTTATAATAAGGATCCTACTATTTAGGGTACTATATTAGGGTCCCCTATTTCACGTTCCACTCAAGGGGCTAAAGGAGCGACCCTTTAAAGGGACCCTTGGGTTATATATGAGACTATATAAGGGAGTATATAAGGGAGTATATAAGGGTTATATAGGGTATTAGGATTAGGGGTCCCCGCCAGGGGTCCCTCCTTTTGTCCCTTAATTTCACGTTCAAGTTGCTTGGTTCGATGAAGGCCAAGAAGAAGACGAAAAAGTCGCCGGGCGAGAAGAAGCAAAACGACACTGCAGCAAGCCCAGATGCAAGGCTTGAAATATCCAGCAGTGTGGACTCGATGCCTTCGTCAGCCTAGGCTGAGATAGATGCTTTGGCGGCTTCGATTGCAAATGATGCCGTGCAGGCCCGGTTCATACCATCACAGCGAAGCACAACCTGCATCACATTCTGCTGAGAGGCTGACAAGAAAAAAGGCTTATTCGGGTGCGTGCCTCAGGTAGTTAGCTCGCTGAGATTTGCACAGGATGCCAAATCTCTGCAGGATCTTGGGCAACTGGGGGCTGAGCTAAGCCTCACTTAGGGCAGGCCGGGGCAGGGCCTGCTGTCTTGAGAGCGTCACATGAGGCACAGAGGATTGTGCACCTTATGTGTATAGATGCATGTACACATAAGATTACATACAAACCAGCAAAGGGCGATGAGCAGATGTACCTGTGAATGGTTCCCGCAGGAACGTTGGAATCGGTTTATCGCTCTTTCAAGCAAGTGCCTCAGCAGCTGAGCATGCACTGTCACACGAGGGGCTGAAATAGTAACCCTGCTACTTGAGGTTGCTCAAAGCACGACTATGCCGCATGGGTACGTCTCGCAGTTTTGAAAGCGCTAAACGAGATGGTGGCATATAGCAGCCTACTTTGGTGAAGCTGTTATGTGCTGCCTCGGATGACAGAAATCAGTTCGAGAAATGGATCATGCCAATGTTGACAATGCCTAGTCCTTACTTCTTGTTGCTAATCTTTCCCTGGATGTCCTGCTGCGGCAGGGCATTGTTTGCAGCATCAGGCGACGGAATGCCCTGGTCTTTCGCGGTTGTTTAACCTAGTTCTGGAGCTACCTAGCGCACTGGCCATTCTGGCCTTATGTCAGAGCCTAGCTGGCAGCACAATCCACTTGAGGCTTGGGGCATCTTACAAACGGTAGTGTGGAGCCGAAGCTCCAAGCACCAATAGGGTGCGATTCAACCTTTGCTGAGTGGGCTCTTGGCCCGTCTTTTCACTGATGCCCCACGTGCTCCTCGTTTCTCCACGGAGCTAAGAATAGACTTGGACCAGGTTTATTGCAGGATGGCGTGGGAACTGCAAAGAAGACAGGATCGTTTTCGCTGGATCCGGGACTGCCTTGCTCCCCATCGATCCGGCTTGGCAGAAGGCCTCTGTCAGAGTGCCATCCAAGAAACAACTCAAGCCGAGCGGGCCGAAACATAGGGAGCATTCTGTCTGATTTGTTTGCCTGCCTGTGTCAGAATCATGCAGTAAAAGCATCTCCTTCGATTGCCGAGCTTTTGCATGTGGAATTTTGAGATCTGTCGGCTCGAGCGAGAAACACAACCACTCGTTGCACAACGCTGTAGTGAATGCCTACAATGGCACACAAGCTTTCTGAAGCAAGAAGCGGCGGAAACCATGCCCTGACGCTTGGAATGCCCAGCTACGAGGTGCAGAATCCGATTGACAAGGCTCGATTCCAAGCACAAGGGGAGGGCACCAAAGCTCGATGTTGGCCCGCTTGACCCTGTGAGGTGCCATGTCCACGGCCGCAACGAAGGCCGTGCCGAAAGTTATCAACTCCAAGTTTCGGAGGCAATAGTTATCTTTCTGCCTTTATTCCCCAGATAGCTTTAGCTATTTGGGATTCCAGCTAAATAAGGGGCCACGCTGTGTCCACCACCGCCGCAGGGGGTGCAGCGGCATGCAGGTGGGGGCGCTTTGTGTCCGCCGCCGGCGAAGGGGGTGCAGCGGCATGCAGGTGGCTTGAGACACCCACAATCCCACACAGCTCCTGCAGAGACACTTGACGATGGCCGCCAACCGTGATGTGGTGATTGTTGGGCCGCGCTTACTTCGTGATTCGTGGCGTCCACAACTCGGGAATCTCGCCCACTCCGAAGCCAGGTCACGGCTGGTCCACGTTTATCTGTTAGTGACTGTTAGTGTGCGATATGAGCTGCGACAACGCACATTGTGACTGTGATGCCCGGGTGTATCTGTGAGCCACAGAAGCTCCCTGCCTTGTTGCATATTTTTGTTTGGATCTCGCTTGTGCAACATGAATGGCACCACGATTCGTGAGACTTTCTTGGCTTGATCTGGGGATACCCGGCAGTTCAAAAAGGCCAGGATGCAAAAAACAAGGAGCCCGCTGTGTCCACCGTCGCCGCAGGGGCTGCAGCGGCATGCAGTCGGCATGTGGAAGAGCTTGATGCCAAGGAGGATGTCATGGATGGGTGATGATGGGTGTATGATGAGTGCCTTGTGGAAGTCACGGCCGTGGCATTCCGAGGAGTGCTTGAAGAGAGAATGGCAAGGAGCATGTCGCGTTCATCGCACGCAGTGAGAAGTGACCGTCGCGAGGAGGACATGGGTGCAGAACAATGTCAATCAACGCACGCCGCAAGCAGGATAACTACGTTCATTGGCAGTTGCTGACCGTGTCAGCCATATCAGCACCCAAATGGGGAATGGTCGTCAGCATGCATTGGCAGCATGGTCATTATCAGGGTGCCCCAGAATGACGTCGTGCCGTTTGCAAGGACGAAATGGTGGAGTGGTACCGCAATGCCACACTGCCAGGAGCTGGACTGATCGAGTGGCGCTTGATGAGCCACAAATCATTGAATTTCGCATGGCTTGGCAGCGGACTTCGGAGTTAGATGGCCTGGTGGTGAGATCAAACTGTTCCCCCGCTAGTGTACCATGGTGAGCTGAAGTCATGGCAATTAAAGCGGTGTGTTGGATTGTACAAGCCTCTTGCGAAGCAAATGATGGATGATGTCGAAGGTTTGAAGCCTTTGACGTGCATCAGACTGGAGCACAAAACAACCAAGTTCTCCTCACGACGATTGGCCCGCATGCTGGCACAGATCACTGATGTGCCATATGGTGCCGCTTGGGCGATTCTTCGAAAAGAGGACACAGAGTGGCTTTGAGATTTGGGGAAGATTGCGCACACAGTTTGCAGTGCGTGAACGAGCGAGAGCCACGATTCTCCTGAACGAGATCCTCTCGTTCAAGCTGAAAAGCGATCAACTGGAGAGTGATCTGAGCGATTTCATCATCCTGAAAAATCGTCATAAGGCAACTGGCAGGCCGTTGGACAATGACGCCCTGGTCACACTGTTTATGCAGAAAACGACTGGTCCAATGCAGCAGCCTTTGCGTTTTTAATGCTCGTAACATCAACACACTCAGTGAAGTCATGGAGATTGTGTCTAGCTATTTCCACAGCAGACATCTGACTGTGCCAAGCATGAGGAAGGACGGTGGTGGACATTGGAGCATTGAAGGGGAAGAAAGGAAGGACAGGCGGAAAAGGGTAGTATGGAAAAGGTATGCACCTAGGAAAAGGCGCAGGCAAAGGAATGTACAAGGGCATGAAAAGGAAAGAGAGAAGGATGCAAAAAGGAGTGCGAGGACAAGGAAGGGGAACCAAGGACATTCAAAAGGACAAGGTTGTGTTGTTTGTGGTGACACGAACCTCTGGAGTAGCGAGCGCTCAGGGAAAATGTCGGCAGTGACCGCTGATGATAATCAACGGGAGATTCAAGGAGAGTGGAATCAGGATTGGAATCGGGAACAGGAATGGTACGATGATTGGTCTTCATGGAGGTAATCGTGACTGGAGTCATGAGTGGATAGGTTCGCTTGATGATGGCCCCGAGACTATCTTGCCTTGGTTGATTCGACTGGAAACCCTCTTCTGATTGCGCAACAGGGCACATTGGTGTAGCTGACAACGACTGTTATTCCCCACGCCGATAAGGATGCGGCGAGATTGGCAGCGAGTTTGATTGATGTGTTGTCGGGAACAAAGCAACAGCTCGATGCAATGGAACTTTGTTGTGCTTGTCGGATTTGCATGACAGCTCGTTTGATTATTTTCAACAGATTGGTGCCCTGATTGCTGCGGCACAAGGCATCAAGAATGCTCATGGTTGCGCGTATGACGCGTGGGAAGTGAATGGGCCATAGCTGAAATTTGTCCGGCACGTCAAGACGGGGAAGGGAAACCCTCGATCCTCGAATCGAAGCCTCCAAGACTTTGCCAGCACAAATCTGCCGATTCACTGGCGAAAGAGTGACATACAAGATGCACAATGAGGGATCGATTGTCACTATTAGTATCAGGGATAGGAATTTCTTGACCTTGGCAAACACCCGGCCCGGTGACCCGAAAGAACGGAAAGGCCGAGTGGAGTTTACATTGCGCCACAATCCGCAATTGAGGCATGTGAAGAAGAGTGAGCCCAGACATGCCTAAACGCAACACAAAAAGAGCAGCCAGCTGATTGACCTTCCTGGTTAAGACAACCATTTATGTCCGAAGCCATTCCAACGTTTCCCCATCTTCGCCGGTTCAATAAAGGTGGGTGCCGCGAGCGGGCCCAGCAGCCAAGAGGCTGGTCACGCGATCTATGAGGCTGCAAGCAGCTTGCGAGCACCTTTGCCTCACAGGTACAAGTAAAGCCTGCAACGATCGAAGAGGTCGAGGTCTCCACGGATTTCGGATTTACTTCAAACTTTGACAGTTTTGCATGGAGGCGTTCGTGCTGCATAACAAGCGCTGGCTGCCAGATGACGCAGAGAAGGCAGGGCTGGTGGGTTTTATTCAAGCTCGTGGCTGCGTTGACAGACAACTTTAGGTGTTGCGGAGCATGAACGCTGTGGATCAGAGGAGAGCCTGGACCCTTCGAGACGCTCGCATGGCAACAGTTATGATCCCTGTGCTCGCCAAGGTCATTTGCGCCGGAAGCATGTCAAGTGTGCAGAACCCGATAGCTGTTCTACAGGCGAGCTTCGATTCTTCCTGGTGGTTTGACATTATTTTACCTGTCCTCGAGAGGCACGGGTACGTAAGGCGAAGGATTTGGAGGCCGGGCTGAAGCAAACAAGTCACTCCGCTCAAATTCTTGCGCTTGAGGAGGCTGCAGCCCGAAGTGGTGGTGCCATCCCAGTCGGCGCTCTTGGAGTTATACCTCGCCATACCTAGTGCTATACCGCTGCGTGCTTTAGTTTTGAAGAGGCTTGTCCTGTGTCCATCTTTGGCGCTAATTACGCCTCTGAAGGCGGCCCTGCTTGGACTCGAGAGCAAGCTCGTGAAGCTCGTTCCCCGGACTCTTTCGCAGTCTTGACTGGAATTCGCCACCATTCCAGTTCCACCCCATCATAACACCACGTTACCACGCCAAAGTCAGCAGCACTCAGAATATTTGTAGGTCAGGCCGCCTCAACTCGGTGACGAAATCTAGTCTCGATCGTGCTAGACACTGTAGACGTTTCCTTGTCCAGTATGTCCAGTGTCATGGCATGGTGTTGGAATAGCGAAGTCCTGCATTCTGATATAATTACACATATCATTTTGGGGGGCTCCTCATTATAATTATAGTGTATTGGGACCAAAAACCCTACTCTAACCATTAAGGGCCCTACGTATATTCTGATGCGCACGCTAGGCCTGCGACTTCGGAGGCAGAGCCTGGGAGCATCATCGTGCACAGGGAAGGGCTAGAACCCTGCGCAGACGCAGGGTAAGCCCACGGTAGCTGGTACGGCGAGGTTTCGTAAACGGTTCAGAAGTTCGGCTTTTGGTTTTAATCTTTAGCCGCCGGCTGCCGATCTGCCAGGAGTTGGAGGCATTCGTGAAGTCCAATGACCGATGGATCGCCGGAGAGGCGCAAGACTGATAATTCCACGAGAAAAACCGAAACTCCATCGGACAGCTTTGCCTTTGCTGCCATTCTGTAGGCAGTGGAACTCCTCCGCGCCATGAGCCCGGCCCGGCAGCTCAGCTCTGCACTCTCGGAGACGGAGCCCTCCCAAAGAACCGCAGGTCGACCAGCGCAGGGTCATCTCAGCAGGGACGATGTCAGGTGCAGGGGACCTGGGGCCCTGGGACGGGACAAGTGCCATCGCGGGCTCCCGGAGGCTGTCGAGACCCTGTGGCTGTCATCCAGACCCGGGTCAAGAAGGCATGGTGTGATGTGATTTGTCTTTCTCGACTGTGGCCAAAGAGTAACACGTCGACGCGGATGATCTCGGATTTCAGCGCGAGGCACGGGACATGGAATTGGAGCTGGAGGTGGGTGCACGAAATAATTTCGGCATGGTAAGGGTGTTCGGAAGGAGAGAACCGCTCTTCTGCACAGGGATGCAACTTGCAGCATATGGGAGTTTCCGAACATAAGGGGTACCTTATCTTGGGGTCCTTATAGTAAGGATCCCACGATTCAGGGTACTATATTGGGGTCCTCTTTTTTCGGAAACCCCCATATTTGAGACACTCTGGCAGAACTTGGCGGCTGGCAAGAAGCCCCTCCTGCAAGACGAGAAGCCTGGTCCTGCGACGAAAAGCTTTCGCGAGGCCTCCGGAAATCGGCCTCTGATATCTTGCCTGTACAGTGTAGAGGGGGTTAGGGTTCAGGGTGTAGGGTTTAGGGTTTAGGGTAAAAAAAGTTACAGCCACAGGAAGAAGCGGCTGCGCACCTCTACGCCCCGCCGGAGGACTCGCAGAAAAAAATAGAGGGCAGCAGCCCAATAATGATACACAACAAGCAGACGCAGGAAGTTTGCGCCATGGAGTCGAAGTTCGCGTCATCTCTGGATTCGGCAGCGGCCTGAATTGCTTACATTCCTGCGAACCTCTCAGCAGCTGCAAGCGGGGCCAGACAGTTGTGCTGCATTTGTCCTTTCCTAAGTTAATCTTTCGCGGCAGCGGGATCAAACAAGCGAGGAGACAGTGGATTTTGCAATGTGAGGGGATGAGTCGGCATCAAGTGGTTCCGGCTCTCATGACTTGGCTTTTTTCAAGGCACATCCTGTGCTGGGTCAACTGGGCAGGCTAAGCATTAAGACGTGCTGTGCGGAGGTCCTCGGTTTCGTCTTGTGCTCTATATGCCATATAACCTATCGTTCGAATGTTGTGGAACTTGCCCTGCATATTTCGAGTCCTGCACGATACTTGAAAGGGGATCTTTTGTGCAGAGGCATCTTCGAAGCATGTACTCCAGTTGAAGCGTCTGCAACTCGTTCCCAATAAGGGGGTTGCGGCTAAGTCTTCGATCGAGGCTCGAGGAGGAGGTACTGGGCAAATGCTGATGGGTGATGCGCCGGGCGTCGGAGGCCCTGTTCGGGGCAGCATAGACCCGTTTGTGGCCGCTTTAGTGAAGTCTTGCTCTGTCATGTCGCTGATGGCCGCAACTTCGTTCATGTTTGAGAGATTGCAATTATCCCTTTTGCGCAGCCGTTCACCGGCTCCGATCTCAGGGTCCTCGCAGCTAGGGACACCCGGCTTTCAAGCCGAGGGGCCTGCACTGCTGATCCTGTGCCACTGAGAAGCAAGACGGCGAAGGGACTTTGCCTGGGTACAGTCGAGAATGCTTGAACTGGTCACAGTTTCGCAATGGAAAGAAACAACCTGAAAGGATTTCAAGTTCTTGCAGAAAACGAGCATCAGCACAGCATGCACAGCTTGCTGAGTCTACTGAGCAGGTAGACGGTGAGCATATACACTGTCCGGAGGCATGCCACAAGACAGAGACGCAGAGCCCAGAGTAAGCAGATGCTCGTGTGTAAGGAAAGAGAAGGCGCACAGCCTTGATCGAGCCGGCGAAGCCCAGTGCTCTGGAAAGCCACTGCATTGGGACAAATCTGGCAGTTTCACAGTCGGACCGAAGCACCTCTTTGTGTTCCGAGCACTGCTTTTCTTCCTTGATCGGGTATACGGTCAGAGTTACGTACACCCTTCCACGCCCTGTGGAAGGATTTACCGAGACTTAGCTGCCCATCATGGGCCTCGTGGGCTTCAGACGGAAGGTCTGCACAGGGTCCACCGGATCTCCCATTTAACGTTTCGCCTTGGGCAGGCCTTGTTGCGGAGCTTGAAGCCATCCGAAAGAAGGAAGATCAATGCTGCTTGCTCACTAGGCTGGTGCTGTTTTCATCCGATAGCAACGCCAGTACCTTGCGGTTGACGGGCCGCGCTCCGAAGGCTTTGCATTGGCTTTGACGCTCTTGGGCGTTGTCCAGGACCAGAGCCCTTTGGGAATCGGGCGGCTTTCTTTGGGAGAATTGGGAGCACCCTACACCGATGCTTCCACTGTTTACGAAGACATGCGTTGATTGCAGGAGTTCAGAGAGACGCCTAGCAACCTGGCTTCCCGTTTGCTCGAGTGCACGTCGCACCTAGCTCGCTCGCAGGCTACTGTAGGAACCTGATTGCCTTTATTTCTTAATATGAACCCTAATATATTGGGGTTATAGGGCCAGGTAGGGCTTGGACTCGTCTCCGCTTTTGGGCTGCCGTGCGCGACAGTGAAGCATCGCGGATCACACTGCAGGTGTGGATCGAAGGTTAGCTGGCAATGCCACCGCAACGGAATCACGGCACTAGCTTTTGGCAGCTATAGTATTTTGGTGGCTCCTGATTAGAATTATAGTATAATGGGCCCCAAAAACCCTTTCTAATTATTAAGGGTCCTAAACCTGCATTTTGCCAGTGGCGCAGTTGCGATGCGGTTTGGCGAGATCGGATGCGAGCTCAGGATCCTCCAAGCTTGTATCCGCCAGACTTGTTCCTGGATCGGCCATATGGAGAAGAACCGATAGGCGCTATGAAACCCTAACCCTCCAGGTACCTACTATATAGGGCCGCAGTGGCTCTAAGACCGTATATAGTAGGTACCTGGGAGGTTGGGGAAAGAGATGCACGGATAAAAGGTAAGCATGCCGAGTCTGTGTGCCCGGAAGGGAAGAGATTCTTCGCTCTCTTGCATTGTCTTGGCATTGCACCAGCCTCAGCAGCGGTTTGGCCCCAACCACGAGAACCGTAGAACCATGCTGAGGCATACATGGTGCTGGGATTGAACACGGTTTGCGACGTCTACTTCGCTGGGTCCATTGATGTTCTCTGTGATGCCTGGAGCTTGACGCCCGACGTCGCAGGAGTTGCTTGACTGCAAGGATATCATCGCTTTCGGTACTCAAGCCCTGCAACATCACAGCTGCAAGGAGTTTGTTATAGCGTGTTGTAACCTTCGGACACTTGCGCCCGTCTTGTAGCCTGGGCTAGCCTGGGCGTAGACCACCCATGCGAAGAAGTCCTGCATTCGTGCATCCTTCGTGGAGGCAACATGGATGGCCGCGGGGGGTTCGGCTCCAGAATTCTTCACCTCCATGATTGGTGCAACCATTGCAGCTCTGCGACAACTCAAAACTTGAAAAGGCAGCCAGATGCCCCTGATGTCGTGTCTCGTCTGTGCAGCATCCATATAGTGGTTTGAAGGCCGTCCTAGTTTCAGACTGCCAAGGCGCAGAATGACGTGGGATTCGGAACTATCGTGGGTTCTGCGGTCTTCAACGTGCTTTTCGTCATCGGCTTGCTTCTTGCCATGAACAAGTAGAACAGGGTTTGGGGGTATATTATACTCTAATTATAATAAGGAACCGCCAACATTATATTATACTCTAACTATAATAAGGAACCCCCCCAAAATATTGTAAGTTTAGATTTGTGCAAGTCAACTCAGCGGAGTGACTGGCGGCAGGTGCGGATACGTGGCGAAGGGGAACATTGAGCTCACATGGTGGCCCTTGTTCAGGGCCCCTCGGCCTCGGTAGATATTCAGCTACTTCGAGATTTCCATGCAGCAGGCAATGCTGGAGGCAAAAAGAAAGGCAATGTCGGTGCTAAGGGGCCCCGCTGTTTCCATCTGGTAAGACGCATGCTGGTCTTGAAAGTGCAGCCAAGGATTGCTCCTACTATATTTTTTCCCTAGCGGTGCTGGCAACGTTCACCTACAACCAGATCATAGAGGCGTGGGAGGCCGGGCCGGATATGTGCGGAATATACTTGTTTCATCATGGTGATCTGATGGGGGTCGTTCATCCCTGACTCGGCATAAGTCGGCTATGTGCGCATGCCACCGTGGCCGCAGCACTACCGCAGCCTCTTGCGGGCTTGTGCGAGTGCGAGTGTCAACAACCCCTTGTGCAGGCAGCCATCCTGTTCAGCTTGTACATAGGCCCGGGCTATCGGGGGTTCAGGAATGTTCAGGATTTTCTATGATCTTTTGCATCGGTGCATTCCTCGATAATAAGCCGTGGAATGGCGGGTCTCGAAGGTGAGCTCAGCATTTCTTCCGGGAAGGTTATCTCACAGGAATAATTAGGGAACATCGACAAGAGCGGCTGCGATACATGAGTATGAAGTCAGTACGGCCGAGATTTTTGTCTAGGGGCTCAATCATGTTCTGAGTCTTGGCGCTGTGCCGATATGTTGAGCCCAGAGTCCTGCCTCCAGGCTACGTGAGCTTCATGTTCTTTAACAAGCCGCTGAATGTTTGGGCGCACCGCGGCTGGGTCTTTCCTGCATGTAGGCGTAAACCAAACCCCTCAACATCTTGCAGGGGGTACCACAACGGCAGCTATTACCATCAGCGAAAGACAGCCCTCAACCACAAGCACAACCCGCCCTCACGAGCAACAGGCGCAGCAGCAACAACAACAGCAGCAGGCAGGAAGCAAAGCAACAAGAGCAAGAGCAAGCCCAGCAGCTGGGAGGATCGCCGACCACACCCTGGGGATACTTTCAGGGACGGCTGCTGCCACGACTGCTGCTCCAGCTTGTTCTAGTCGGCCTACTATTCCCGCCTACTACATTTGTTTTTCTACTTGGCTACCACCACTACTACTGCTGCTGCTTGCTGCTGCTGCTGCTGCGAGTGCCACTGCTACTCGTAACGCATCGTAGCGCTATACTGTACTACGACGACGACTACTACTATACTACTATAGTACTAGTACGACGACTAAGACTCAGACTACGGCCACGACTACCACAACGACGCCGACTACGACTACCACCGCAACCGCTGCTACTACTACTGCTACCACCACTACCAGTATGACGACGACTACTTCTACTTCCTTCCTTCTGCCCAGTCGCGACGAACATCCAGGGATCCGAGTCGGGAATGGCGAGCAAGGTTAAGCTCGGCCACCCAGAGGCAGCACCATCTTTTACGTCGGCACGCAAGCTCATACTCGTTGCGTCCGTTGGGAATGTTTCAATGTTCTGGCTCTCTTCAGCCCATGCCCGACCCGCCGCCAGAGAAACTCGCAGCAGTCCCCTGAAATCCCAGTCGCAACCCCACGCACTGAAGTGCGCAACGCTCCTCATCCTTCGCCGCCGCTGCGCAGTATGGAAAAATACTAGGCCGGGAAATAGTCTTGTGCTCTTTCGAGAACATACCCATAGGCCCCATAGTAAATCCTTTTTGGGATTACCTAATAGGATCCTAAATACAAGCTACAAAAAGGAACTACTATGGGGCCTATGGGTATCCGCAAGGTGCTGTTGCTGAGCTGCGGTGGTCCTCCATAAATCACCTCCTCCAAGACGGAGCCACTGCTTCCCCTGACGACTACTCACTACTTCTACCACTGAACTGTTACTATTTCATTTACCTTCAAATGGCTACGGCTACTACCACTGCTGCTACAACGGGGCCCTACTTACTTGGTGTCGCTGGAGCTGCTGCTGCTATTCCTGCTCCTTCCCACGGCGCTTTCAAGCACTCCGCTGTGCTGGTGCTGCTGCTACCTCCCATGGTTGTTGTAACGCAGCCATTCAACGGTTGGCCAAGGTATCGCAAGACCGGAACTCCACTTAACAAGGAATTGCGGGAGTATGTGGAGGAGATGAATAAAGCAAAGGGCAAGGTGGAGCCCGAGAAAGTTGGAAGCAGCACAGAGAAAGATACACCGGAGATGCAGGCTGTTCGCTTGCGAGCTTGTCACGCATCTTCCACCAGACAGACACTGGCACTCCTTCTGTTGAGGAGCCAGAGACCAGAGAGGCAAAAGACAACTACATGCAGTCTGACACCGTCGTGAAGAAGGGAACGGCCGCTCTTGAGCAAGATGCATGCTTCCCTTCCCTGCAACAACAGCTGAAAAGCTGCGGTATGCCGACTAAGGACAATGGCAAAACAGACATTGAGCTGGCCAAAGCAGGGGACAAGGCAACCTGCTTTCCGCGAGTCCGACAGCCGACCGCAACTGCAGCGCAACTGTTCCTGCCAGACTGCTCAACATGTCGCGCAGGATGAAAACGCAGACGGCGACGACGACGACGAGGACGACGACGAGCCGGAGGACTTCATGATCATGCCTGAAGGCAGGATCTGCATGGTTCCTGCATATCGGAGTTTCCGAAAAATAGGGTACCTTATTTTGGGGTCCTTATAATAAGGATCCTACTATTTAGGGTACTATATTAGGGTCCCCTATTTTCGGAAACCCCCATATCAGGCGACCTGCCCCTGAAATGCACTGCTGCCTTCTTGAAGGTATTCTCGAGCGCGTGCTGTGGGGCCTTTGCCTGCCCGTCTACATCCCTTTGTATTACACACTGCCACGGCCTCAGGGTGCGACCTCAAGGCCGGCAAGATGCAAATCCTGTACTAGAAAGGCAAAAAACCCTCTCCCCGCAGCCGCAGCACCTTCCTAAAAGCTGGAGCGCCCCGTCATGTTGACGCAAGACATGGACCTCAGAGATGTTCCTGAGTTCTCCATGGCTGCCATCTGAGGCCTTGGCCATCACAAGGCTCCAAGTGGTTTCTTGCGACCTTCTTCCTGTCCTTACTTTGGATCGGCGGCTTTTCCTTCCTGCTGGTCTGGTGGACCGACACTGCTTGCCGGAAGCACTTGAGGGCTGGGGTGATGTAGCAAGTCCAGCGCTTCTGAGTCTTCTGCATCTTCGAAAAGACACAGACACATACCTTGTGCTGAGGTCGCAGGGGTATTGACAGCCGGGACCCCAGTCTCAGCTGATCGCACTCGTGGAGTCGAATACTCGAACTAGTAGAACGACTTCCTTCCGGAGTCAGAGGTTCAATGCAGGATGTTTGGCAGCATTCCCCCCTGCATCCCATCAGCCGCTTTAGATGTCACGAGTAGCCTCGCTGAGAGCAGTGCACAGAAGACCAAAACGCTGAGACTTTTTGGGTATGGAGTTCTGAGCTGACAGCTTGAATGATCCATCCCCGTATTCGGGTGAACAGCCCCTGCCTGCAGATCCCCATCATTGTCTCCAGCGCCACGTTTTTGGCCGCAGCGACATCTATACCTGATGCTGTAAGCTCCATGGCTGTCGCCCGCAAAGGCCAGCATTTTCCTTTGCAGCATGTTGCTATGATAACCCTGATTATGCTTCTGCCGCCCTGGTCAGGACAGGCAGATATGGCAGTCAGCTCATCCGTTGGCTCTAACATTTTCGACATCCTGGCCCCTTGGCAGACTGACTCCTTTCGTTCATCCGCTGACCGGGCGAACTAAATCGTCATGACAGGAAGCTTGAATGTCCAGCAGTCTCTCATCTCGGAGAGACTGACTCCGTGGGCGAGCTTTAAGAAGTACCTTACCCATAGACAGGGAGAGTGGGAGGGAGACAACTGAAAAACAAACAGCTGTGGGGGAAAAAGCAAGCAGAAGCTCGTCGCGATGCGGGGCTGCTTGGTGAATGCTCACACGTCGTACATGCAGCTTTGGAACAGGACAGCGGGGCGTGGCTCACTGGCTTGAAGTAAAGTGCTCCGCTTTCTGAACAATTGCCGGGAATGAGCAGCGAGACAAATCAAGTCAAACCAAATTGAAGAAATCTCGGGACGGGTTGAATGGCACCTAGGCGGAAGATCGTGAGTGAGTGTTTCAGGACCCAACTACGACCAGCGAAACAGAGCCCCTCCTGCTGCCACGCCAACCAGGTTACATCCTCTCTCAGAAACCGGAAACGAAAAACCGACTCTGAGAGGCAGCTCCAGCAAAGTCTCGAAGAATCCTGTTTCCAGGTTGGGCTGCCAATCCCTTGGCTGGTGAAATGTGGGATCGAGTCTAGTAATCCTGACTTCCGGGGTGTCCCCATCAAGTCGCCCTACTTGATGTTCTACACCTGCTTGCTTCTTGGCATGGTTTTCGGCACGGTTATGAGCATCAAGATTTGCGGCTGGAAGCTGCAGAAAGCCTTGGGCGCTTGCATGGCTGTCTTGTACTTTGTCTTTATTGTCACTACGATCACAGTGGAACTGGCGCGGCCAACTTGGCTGATGACGAATCCTAGCTGATTGCATGCCATGTGATAGTGGCAGCAGGCTCACTTCGGCTGACATTGTCGAAGCGTCTCGTAGGGACTATGGGACTAAAGCAGCAAAGCCCGGTAAGCAGAGCTGGTCACGACTTCGGAGAAGAGTGACCCGGCTCTCCGTGTTTAAACTGGGAATAAACCTTAATGATGTGGGAGCACGGTCTCCCGGCCTCAAAGGCATCCGTCCGCTTTTTCAGAAGAAATTGCAGAGCACTTGTGCCAGTGTGTGCTAGGCATTCAATCGTGCTGGACTTTTTTCTGATGAATGATGCCTTTGCCATTCCTGTGCTAGTTCACTCTTTCCCCGCATTGACCTCATCAAACGATGCGGACGATGCAGGCGGTTCCTACACTGGTTCCGCATAACAGGCGTGAGGTTCAAGATTCTGGGCTGAGGCCGGATTGGCCACCAGAAGCCCCGCATCCCATTTCGGTGTTTTCGCAGCACTCTCGCCAAACTCAGCTCAGCCGAGCTGTTGTGCATGCTCCAAGCTGTTGAAAAAGGACGAACTGCATCAGTAGGCCATGAGCATCTGCTCCGGCCGCCCAAAAAGTGTTTGCGAATTCAACTGTTTCCCACGTCGTTGTGTATGTGCCCATGGCTCGCAGAGTGGCCAAGCCACAGCAGCTGAAAGCTTTGTGAGGGCCCAGCTTCAGTCCACCAGCCCGCAAACACCAGCCACCCAGCCAGAAAGCACATAGGAAATCCTGAGTAGTGTAGAGTTTCCGCACTTGCGGCAGCAGCCCAGACCTTTTCCGGGTCGCTTGCCCGGAGTTGATACATTGCGCAAGTTTCTGGGCAGCTGTGCATGGCTGTGCGTGAGTACTTCACAATAGGCGATTCTCCAAGGTCCAGCATAGAGGAGATGGGTCGCTTGCGCTTGAGCAAGAAGGCCTGAACCCTCTTTTTTTCCTGTCTCAGCTCAGACTCAGACGGCAGAAGAAGCCAGAGAGGTCCGCCTCTTGGGTCCAGATCTTCAACGTAAAATCAGCTTCTTCTCGGCCCTGGGCTCCTTGGCTAAGTCTGAGACTGGCTGGACAGCAGGCAGAGTTTGGCTTTGACCTTTAGATCTTTTCATGTGCTTTCGGGCATTGGGCAGGATTTGGTCTCATCTTCGGCCTCCTGTCGCTCAATGCAGAGGACGGCAGAAACGCCAAGAGCTCGTGAGCCTCGTGCGTGGGCCTCGCATGGCAGGATCCGGAGGAGCTCTTTGCCACGGCGACAGGCCGTGGCAGAGCTGTTCTTGAGCCTCGGCCCTCGAGACGCGACCCTTTCAGGCTTGCCAAGAAGACTGCAAACAGCGACCACCGAGACCACGACAACAGCGGCTTGACGCATCCATGGGAGCCCCAGCCTGTGCGCTGCGCCGAAGTGGAGAGTGACAGGGTACCGGAACGGCCTCGGTTCCCCTAAACCCTGAACCCTGAGGCAGGGAATTTTTATCCACCGCCGGACCTCCTGCTGAATCAGCCCTACTTCGAGGAGCCTCCAGGCCTGGCCTTCGCCTTGAGTGAGATGTCTGGGATCTTCCGAAAAGTAGGGGTATACCTTATTTTGGGGGTCCTTATAATAAGGATCCTACTACTTAGGGTGCTATATTAGGGTCCCCTATTTTCAGAAACCCCCCCCATGTGTTGAGTCCCAAGCACAAAGTATTACCGTTCCGAGGAAGGAAGGCCCTGGCAGTGCTCCATGTGATCGGAATTGCCGGAGGCCAAGAGGGAGACGGCAGAACCGCAGAACCGCAGCCGGCTTCGGTGCAGAGAAGTGCTCCGCCCTTCTGAGGCCTACATGGTTTTGGGGCTGAACACTGTCTGCGATGTTTACTTTGCCGGTGCCATCGATCTTCTTTGCGACGCGTGGGATTTGACCCCTGATGTGGCTGGTGTAGCCAAGCAGCAGAGAGCAGATGAGAGAGGCCCATGTGGAGAAGTGCAATACGCTTTCAGGCAACTTGGATGGCTGCTGGGGGATCAGCTCCTGAATTCTTCACTTCCATGATTGGTGCAACCATGGCCTCTCGGCTGATGATGTTGCTTTAACCTAGTCTCATCAGAAGCCTTGTTGTGGCAGTGCACTGGATGTGCTGAGCCGGCCTTCCACGCCCAGGCCCAAAATGACATTGGCTTCGGCACTATCGTTGGATCTGCCGTGTTCAACGTCCTGTTCGTAGTTGGCCTGTCCGAGTCCCAGTCAGACAGACAGTTTGGCCGCTTTGCGTTTGTGCGCGCGTGCATGCAGACCCTCGCTGAGGTGTGGCTGGGTAGCGAAAGGAAACATCGATCTGACATGGTGGCCTCTCTTCAGGGACTGGGCTTCAGTCGGTGGCAGAACAGCAAGACACAAGGTCTGAGGACTCAGGTCGACACAGTGACACATTGGTGCAGGACTGCTCATACTACATCGTCTCCTTGGCAGTTCTGGCTGCTTTCGTGTCGGACCAGTATGTGAAGCCGTGGGAGGTGGGACGACGGAGTAGCTGAGCTGCTGCTTGACTTCACCGATGCGTAAGGCCGGGATACTCCTTGGAATGTATCTCATCTACGTGGGTTTCATGCTGGTCAACCGACCCCTGAATGTCTGGGCGTATCTTGGATGTTATTGGAAAGGGCACCGGAGACGTAGGGATGCGCCCAGAGGCCTCTCCAGCAAATGCTGCAGGAGACACCAGGCAGGAAGCCTAGGACCTAGGGTCGTAAGGTGAAGCTGATATAAGCCGACCACCCTCATTGTCAAGAGCTGCCATGCACCATGCATTCGTCGCAGAATGAAGCCAAAGAGCTGCTTTTGCACCCTCTCCTAAACTGGAAGCCTAAGCCTGTCCTCTTTCGGGCTTATCCACGGAGACAAGATGCAAAAGGGTCCCGTGGGATCCAGATGCAGCAAGGTACCAGATGACGGGCACGCCGCTGAACAAAGAGCTCAGGGATTATGTGCAGGAGCCGCTCATAGATAGTCAGATCCTCCAAGGCGAACTGCTGTGAAGTGCTTTCCTCTGGCTGCAGGAGAGGCAGAAGGTCAGCAACAAGGTGGAGCCGCTGGAGGCAGTAGAGGAAGCTGCCCCAGCAGCTCAGCCATCCGACGAGCCGCCAAAGCCTGCAAAGGACCGAGTACTTGTCACGAGGTTACAGACGTGCTTACAAATGGGTGGTTGTCAAATTATGGTCCCTTTTTGGGTCCTTATTATAATACGGCACCTATGCTTTAGGGTACCCCAAAAGGGACCATAATTTTGACAACTACCCAAAAGTTCAGGCCACTTGCCTGGCAGAATGTCCACGTTCTTTACTGCGTAGTACAGATCAGAGAGCTCGGCTGTATGTGCAGGACAATTACATGGAGCCGGACAAGGTCGTTGTCAAGACCACTCCCCTTGATGACGACGATGGGAAGGAGCCCGAAGATCTGTTGGAGGGCAAGCTCAAGGACGAGAAAGGCATGGGGAAGGACTGGCGTGCTTCCCCAATGGACCGATTGCATTCCCGTGACCAAGTAGGAAGCTCGATTTGACAGGACGACGGCAAGGATGGTGGAGGGGACGGTGAAGACGATGAGGAGCTGTTGGCAGAAAGTGCTCAACCTTTGTCAGCAATCCTTTCGGGCACGCACACGCAGACACAGAGTGACTGTACTATCAAGGACGATGACGAACCCGATGACTTCATGGAACGTCCTGAGGGACTGTTCAGCACCATCATCTGGGTTTTGAGCCTGCCGGTTTACGTGCCCCTCTACTTCACGCTGTCGCGGCCTCAGTTTGGTGTTTTGTTAACCATTGCTCCAGCAAACGCCTGAGCCTGCGGCGTAATAGGTAGCGCATCATGATGCTTCCGGAGCTGATCTCTGAGGCCATGGCCTTCTAAGGGCTCGAAGCTGTATATGGTCACATTCGGGCTGGCATTGTTATGGATTGGTGGCTTTGCCTTCTTGCTCGTCTGGTGGACCGAGACCGCTTCCGCCTCAGTTAAGCTGTCCCATGTGGTTTGCGAGAAGTCTTTGGTCTGTGACCTGACCTGCGCTACGCGCATTCTCCGAAGACGCAGAAGACGGCAATCCGGTTGTACTACTACCTTAACCTACCAAAACCTACTTTTTGGTAGGGTCCCTATACATTCCATATTAGGGTGTATCATAAGAGCCTACAAAAAAGTAGGTTTTGGTAACTTAAGGTACTACTATTACCCATAGGCCCTAAAGTAGTTCCTTTTGGGGGTTCATATATAGAATCCTATAAGGTAACCCCAAAAAGGAATTACTATGGGGCTTATGGGTACTGCTTCGAGCCATACACAGCTTCAAATTTCAGCTTCGCGCTGGCACAAGCTGGCACCATGCCATCAGGGCTCGATCCCAAGAGCTTGCACAATAAGGTTTAGGGTTTAGGGTTTAGGGTTCCGGTTTAGGGTTTAGGGCCTGGATCTGCACATTGCAGCCCAGGCAAGTGGCGGATGTATTGTGCTTGAATCGTAACGGTATAATATCACTCGACCATTCGATCGTTGGGGGCCACGCGGGAGTTGGGAGTCCACTGACATCATCAAAGCGAGTCGCCTACTTCAAGACTTTGGCTACACATGATGGGCTAACCTCCACCAGGGCACGAGGCTTCTGTGAGCGAACACGACCACCAGAGTCATCAAGTCCACGTCATGTGTATGCTGTATGCCTATTCCTGCCAGCAGAACTTGTCAGCTTGCTCAAGTTGCCATGAGCGCGAAAGAAAGACTAGCATTTCAAGGAAAGGGGCGGCCTGCGTTCAAATGCCCGGCCACTAGACCAGATGGGGAAGTCCTTTAACACTGCCACAGCCAAGGTTGCAGCAGTCATTGGGGCGGCGTCCTCAGCGCATGCAACGTTTCAAGTTAGTCATGATTTTCACTTCATGAAAGATTACCGGCTGCAGATTCCAACCATTATATCCGGGTTGACGTTCCTGGCGGCCGCAACCTCGATTCCGGATGCAGTGAGCTCCATGGCTGTGGCTCGCAAAGGCACTTGGGCAAGTGCTGCCGGGAAGATATAATTTGTCAACAACCTGTGAAGTCGCAAATCCATGGAGTCCCGAAGCAAAATAATCTGTGACATCGCTTAACATAAATCCAGGCGTCATCTACCCGCAATCAAGCATTATCGTTTCTCAGCGTTCCGCATCGTCCAACTATCGCGCGCAGGCCAAGCAGACATGGCCGTGAGTTCATCGGTCGGATCTAACATCTTTGATATCCTCGTCGCCTGGCTAAGAGCTGGTGCACTGGCCTTGGAACAAAGCGCAAGAATGCGTAGATCTGAGAAGCTGAGGTTGGGCTTCCAGTTCCCTGGCTGTTGAAAAGCGCCATCGAAGCCAACAATCCTCTTTTCCAAGGCGTCTTCATCAGGCCTCTTGGCAAGGCCAAATCAGGCTCATCGTCCCCCCCCCCCCGCCCTGGTGCCTGAAAGCTGTCGCAGAAGACAGGGAGATCAGAGACTGACTAAGGTCGCCATTCCTCATGTTCTACACCTGTTTGCTCTTAGCAATGGTTTTCGGCACAGTGGTGAGCATCATGATTAGCAAATGGAAGCTCAACAAGTTCCTCGGCGGATGCATGGCCGTCCTCTACGTCTTGTTTATCATTGCCTGTGTCGTGATCGAAGAGACAAGACCGGCGGCATTGATGACCAACCCCGAAAGTTGAATTCGAAATTAATGTGATAGACACCTGCGGCTTGCAGGAAGTCCTTCAGTCCGCGCTAAGCGATGACAGAACCCTAGGATGCAGCCCGACCAGTGTACCTGCTGCCGAAGCAGCATTCGTGCCTGGAGGGCTTCAGGTGCCGAAGCATCCTGTCGGCTGGTTTCTCTCAGACGAGTGACATCCGATAAGCAAATATCTCGAACGGGGCTCTGTCGGCCTCGCTCCTCCTCTTCCATTGTACTCTTATGCTCTGCTTGTCGGCACCTTTTTTCCCTTAGCATTGCCCTTCTCTTCGATCCGAAGAGGGCGACGGCTCCCGCACGCCTTTGTCGTATGACCCCACAGATGCAGCAACATCCTCGGCATAAGGTTCACCAGGCCCATGTACCCCGCATCTCTACCTGCCGTTTGCCATCTTTCGATGGACCGCGTCTAGAATAGATGTTGGAAGTGCATGCATTCCGAATTGCTTGTTTCACATCACATCTTCGAAGCCTTAGACTCGTAGGTCACTGAATCTAGTCTCGCTCTCTCGATTCGAAAAGCTAGGTGCCATGCCACTTTCTGCCATCTGGATAGACTGCAGTTGACAGCAGCAGTGGTGTAGCAGACAGGCGTCGTCGAGATGTTGAAGGCTAAGTACGGATGCCTCAAGGGCAGACGCCCCAGTCATGCTTCTTGCGGCATCCGCTAATTTCCGACCGGGCTTCCACTTGAGGACAGCGAGCGCGGGTCATTGGGGAGACTCAGTCGCTGCTCCAGTTCGAGGCCAAGCGCTAAAACCCCGCCACGGTGGCATGAGATGTGTGTTCCACGTTCTGAGAAAGAAGCGACCCCTTTCGCCTTCTTGATAGTTGGATACCTTAACCTACCAAAACCTACTTTTTTGTAGGTTCCTATTATAAACCCTAATAGGGAATTTGTAGGGACCCTACAAAAAAGTAGGTTTTGGTAGGTTAAGGTAGTTGTGAATCGACGCATTGCCAGTTTTGTGCCGCACGTCAGGGAGGCAAGACAGCACCGAAGGCCCACGAAGGCAGCGGCTGGAAGTGGGTGGCCGGATACTTAGCCGAGCCAAGTTCAGTCCCACATGGGTAGTTGTCAAAATTATGGTCCCTTTTTGGGTCCTTATTATAATACGGCACCTAATATTTAGGGTACCCAAAAGGGGACCATAATTTTGACAACCACCCACATCTGTGTTGGCATGGGGCGTCACAGCGTCTTTTGGCAGATTCGGGAAGAGGAGGAGTCCAAGCAATCTGCTGCAGAGGTGGGGCGCTTGCTTGCAGCATCTTTGTTTACAATACGCTAGCTCAGTTCGAGCTAACTCCACGTGCATACAGGCCCATGTAACATGTAGACATGCACAAGAGGAAGACAGAAGTATGCATCTCTCCATGTCTCTGCATCTCCGTTCGAAACCACCGGTGATACTCGGAACAGGGGCACTGTCAGTGTGTAAGAGCTAGTCAGCTGGTTGAACTGTGTTGAACTGGACAACCCATGTTATGTTGAAGCTGGCAGAGAGCTGTAACAGGCAGTCAAGAGAACTGGATAGCCAGCAACAAGCATCTTCATGCTTCATACTATAGTAGTGAGAGTGACCGAACGATGGCGACCGAATGTGCTTGCGTTGTTATGCCGCGCTTCGTGCATCGAGCATTGGAAGTTGCTGTTGCAAAGGCAACATCTGTGTTGCCGGATGTGCTGCTCATTCACAACTTGAATGGTATCGTAAACTGCCATCTGACCCAAGTTCGGTTACGAAAAAGCGAAAACCCCTTAAAGGAGGCCTAAACCCCAAGCAAAAAAAAAAAAAACCTCCCCCTAAAGGAGGGCCGGAAGGGGCATTCCAGGCGCAGTTGGCTGCACTGCAGAAGGCTGCCGCACTTCAGGCCGAGCAGGCCGGAGCATGCACCGAAGGCTACTTGGAGGATCATGGGACTTAGGAACTATAGGGTTATAAATACGGTAATTGTACTTATAAGTAATTATAACCCCAATTAAGGTAGTTATAACCTTACTTACTAAGTCCCATGATCCTCCAAGTACGGAGTTGTCCATGGCGTGGCTCGGAGGTCGCAGCTCAAAAGGCCGCAGAGCTAGCACGTGCACAGGCAGAAGCCAAGGCAGCCGGGCGACAGGGCCTTGCCTTTGGAAGCGTCCACGCTGCCTCCTCTCGAAGTTTTCTGGCAGGCTTATGCCGCAGCGCAAGAAGCCATGCAAGCCAAGGTTCCTCGTCGTCGGAAATGGAGTCAAAGCATTCCTTCTGCTAGCAGCACTTGTTGGTAGTCGGACTCACTGATTGGGCCGAAGCTGTCCTCAGTCTGTGCATAGCTGCCCGCCTTGTGAGGTGCGGCATGCTGGACCCGATTCCGAAGACAGCAGAACCCTTAACGGCCTCGGACGAGGGCGATGGGGAAGTTACGAGGAGGTGCAACTCTCGGCGGAGAGACAGTGCTCGTTTCTTCGCCAAGGCGGAAGCTCGAGCTCCAGCTGTCCCAGTGTGCGCTGCCTCAGACCCAGAGACTCCAATACCCCTTAATTAAGGAATATACCTTAAATCTTATTAGGGATCCTACTTTTTTGTTAAAGGTATATTCCTTAACTAAGGGGTATTGGAGCCTCTGTGGACACCGAGACGTCTGAACCCGGTGATGAGGGCAGGGGCTCGTGACTCAGTGGCGACATCTGGCCTAAGGACTCAAACCTGGCAGCAAAGAAGAAAAAGAGGAAGGTACAGAAGGTGCCACAGAATGTGAAAGAATGCCACAACTCTGGATTTCTGCGCCCTCATCTGTCTCTGCAATTCAATCAGAAACATGGCGTGAGCCCAAGGGGTTCCGGAAGTCACGAAGATCCGACTGTAACTATAGTCTCCATTGTAGTTCCTTTTTGGGATTCCCTTATAGGATCCTAAATATAAAATTGGTTTAACCACAAAAGGGAACTACAATGGAGACTATAGGTAGTTGCATTGCCAGGAGTCCGACTCCGGCTCTGGCAGTACCATGTCCAGGTCAGACACACAGCAAAACGGGGAAGAACGGCTGAAGATTTCAGGTGGCGTGAAATAGCGGAATCTAAGGAAAAGAAAGTCGGCGAAAAAGACAAAGCCGAAGGACTTGCAGCATGATTTTGCATGGCCTTCAGCTGCGCTGTTGAGACTGACACTGTCAATGGCGCATTCAGGCTCCGAGAAGTCAATCTTTTTGCATGTCACGTGCGACTGCTCATAGTGTACGTGCATACATGAGCAGGGTACGTCTGCAAACATTTGCGAGTGATAGAAGCTCCGCATTGTCTCAGCGCATTCCGCTTCTGCCAATGTCGTGCGCGGGCATGAACTTTCAGAGCAACTACACCTCAAGAGTTAATGTTTGGCCAACATTGGTTTGAACAAAATTTATTGTCCGCACCTTTCTGTAGCTTCTAGCCAGCAGGAAGTTTGCGTTGCTTTGAGGGTTCCTGTGTGTGTGTGAGTTTTAGTGTGATTGTGTGTGTCTTACCCGGTTCGGGTTCCGGAAGGCTTGTCTAGGGCCGGATACGGCTGGTCTGGTCTTGGCTGACACCAGAGCCAGATTTTGAGGTAGTGTCCTGGAGCATGTGCGACGTGCTCCCAGACATGCCCATGCAGCTGCCGAGTTGACCAAAGAGGGCCAGGCTTTGAGAGTCGAAACAAGTAGCTGCTCTGCGAAGTGGCGAAGTGTCCTTTAAAGTGCATAAGATTTTTAGGGTTTTAGGGTTTAGGACCCTAAACCCTTATACTTATAAACCCTAAACCCATAGGTCTGCCATACCTTCACGTATGGGGAAGTCTTGGCGTGGGCGCAGCGTATAGCAGGGCAAATCCTGCGCGACACAGTGCCAACGACCAGTGAAGTGCTTGTGGCTCTACTCCTGAACCGCTCGGTGCTTGCTCTTGCAGCAGTTTTTGGCGTTTGGGAAGCTGGCGGCGCCTACATTCCCGTGCCGAAAGATACTCCACTGCAGCGTCGACTTCTGCTATGTTCGGATGCGAGTCTCGTTTTAACTGATGACGCAGACCGTGAGTTGGAGGATGGCTTGAGCTTGAGCTCTGGCCCCGCCGTCCGCCTGCTTGACACCTTTGTGCCTGCTGATCTGGGCATCAGCCTGCAGAGCGAGGGCATCCCAGATCCCAGCCGAATATGCATGGTGATGCACACGTCCGGATCGACCGGACGACCCAAGGGTGTGGTGTGCGATCATCGTTGTCTCTGGCACTCGGTGAGCTGTTTCACCGCAGATCTAGGCGAAAACAACTGTCGGAGCCTTCTTTGGAAAACGCCCTACCAGTGGAGGACAGCCGAGTACGAAATGTTCCCTGCGCTTTGTCTGGCAGGTTGTGTTTTTATCGCGCCGGATGGGTTTCAGAAACAGTTGACCTGCGTTTCCGATGCCATCCGCGACCATGACATATGCGTTATCGCTGGCGTGCCTTCAGTTTTGACGCACATGATGGAGCATCTCTCGTCATGCGTTTCGCTGAAGCACGTCGTAGCCGTCGGAGAGCCACTGCCGCAGAATCTTTGCAGCAAGGCCTTGGAAGCATCTCTTCGTCTGAGCAACTATTACGGCTTGACAGAGACAGGCATGACGACATGGCGTTGCCGTGCCGTGCCACAAAGTGCCACAGCCCCCGTGGGACAACCGCAGCCCTCGATAGAAGTCACTTTATGTGATGGAGAAGGCAGAAGTGGCCTTCAGGGGGAAGTCATGTTTGGCGGCATTATGTTCCGCTGCTATTTGAACATGCCCGAGCTTACAGCGCAGAAGTTCCGGCAGGCCGGTGAGGTTAAGAAAGCTTCAGGGGTGATCAAAGGCCATGTGACGTGTGTCGGCCAGGTGGACGGCCGAATCGCCTTCCAGAGTGGCGATTTTGGGAAATGGAACGGCCAGGAGCTGGAAGTTTGCGGGCGCATTGACAACCAGGCAGCCAAGTGTCAAATGAGGTGTGTGAGAACCCGCTTTTATAAGAACTGCTGCTGCATGAGCTGCCTTGCTGTGATTCTCAACGACTAGGTTCGTCAGGTTCGAGGTAGTGACAGTTACTGAGTTTCTACGGTACTGGTACTGCCAGGAACGAGCCTGTCGGGTTCTTCAAGGGCTCACGGTTGTGAGGTCAAGCTCCATGGCGTGCGGATAGAGCTGGCAGAGATCGAGGCCGCTTTGGCGCTCTTCTGTCGGGAAGCAGCAGTGGTTCAAGCGGCAGAGGACGAACAGACGCTTGTGCCCTGGCAGGCATGGCTTGGAGAATGTTTGAATGGTGCATCCGTTCAGGGCATGTATCGTTTGCTGTGCGTGAGTGGCTCAGGTTGCTTTTCTGGTCAACTGCAGGGTAGAAGCTCAAGACTTGCCTCGTAAGTTGGCACAGCAGCTGCCCAAGTACATGGTGCCTTTGCACTTCCTGGAGATTTCCGCCCTGCCGCGCCTGGAAAGCCAGAAAGTCGACCGCAAAAGCCTGCGGGAGCAGACCAGGGGACTGGCAACGCGAGCACAAGCACAAGATGCATTGGCTGAAGGTGGGGACCAGGGTTGATGTGACAAAGAGGATGCACCACCTCAGTGTTGAAACCAGTTTCCAAGCTACAGAAAGATAGGCATTGTACGTTGGGGGGCAGTGAAGGAACATTGTAAGACTGATCGATGCGCCGGTGGTTTGTTTCATCAGATGCCAAGCTGGTAACCCCGCGCCCTCACACCTGTCAGTGAAATCTTGAACCATCGGAGACTTGATCCGATCCTTCTGCAGGTGTCCATGCCATGGTGCAGTACCTGGATTCCCTGGGTTTTGCTCGGGCTGTAAGCCTGCAGACAATGCGGCTCTACAATCTCTGGGATTGCCTAGCTGTTCTCGGCATGGTGAACGTCGTCCTTTTTCATTGGTTTTGGTGCGTTTTGATTGAGCCTCGCACGTACCACTTTCCAGCCCCTGGTGAGCCTGCGGAGAACTCGGTAACCATGCCGAAGCTGCCAGTGCCCCGCTGGACTTCGTTTACCTATCGGCTCGCGACCCAAGATTGGGCTTATGGTGTCTTTTGTTTCGCGGCCGCCGCGCACACGTCGAGCGAACGGTCGTCTTTCACGCAGAGGGATGCCGCGATTTTGACCCTGTACCTTTATGCAGGTGCGGCTCAGTCGGATCAGGGGTAGTTAACGAGCGGTACACTTACCAGGTGTGCTTTTCGTCTGCAGCGGCAGTAGCTCTCACTCCACAATCTTGCCGATCACAGGCTTTCGGGAGGGGGTGATTTCGTTGGCCTTCGGGTGTGAAGCCTCTCTGGTTGAGACACCTTTCGAGGAGGGTTCCCGAATCCACGTCCGACGCTATGGACCGAGGACCCTGGGTAACTGGCACTGATACTACACGGACAGAACAGGGAACTCCTGAAAGACACGGACGTGATAGCAGGGTTTGAACGACGGCTTCAAGCCAGCTTGAATGTAGCGGCACCTCAATGCCCGATGCACCAGGCTTTCTGCCGATGTTCCTGTCCGTTTTCTTCTCGGAACCCTGGAGCAGCATCGTGTTCCACGCGGAGACTATTCAGAGATGGTTTTTGCTTTCGCTGATCATTGGCAAGGCGGCGCTTGTGTTGGACACCTGGTGTGGTGAAGGCAGCATGGGGCTAAGACGGTACGACGTTTGGGGTTGGGCATCTCTTGTGGCCACCGTATACTCGCTTGTCTTCTCGGATGGTGCTGTCAGGGTGCAGATGCTGAGGTGCTGAACTTGCCTGTAAGCTGCCGTCGAACTCTCGCTTCTCACGGCTGAGCGTCCTCACACGCTCAAGCTTTTGAGTCGGCATAGAAGATCAACAACTCGGACACCATTCTGACCAGGCACATGTGAGTTGATGCTACACACCAAGGGCAGCATTGTCACAGACCAGCGGCTGAAGCGAGACGCAGCAGAAAATATCTGCACAAACCGCAAACTTTCAAGCCTTCCCTACAGTAACTGCGCAGGCCCGCCTCATCTGCACATGACTGAATATCGGAAAGCATAAAGCTTGGAAGGCCGGTGCATGCCTGGAAGAAACATGAAATCTGCGCAGTCAGTACATACTGTACCCGTGCAACCATGAAACAAAGGCAAGCCAAACTACATTCCTGCACCGGCTTTCTGGAAGGATCTCAGTTCTGCATGAGGGAGACATGTCTTGGGCCCTGATCCAGGTAGCTTTGCCGCGCTGGGCCTGCTTGCTGTTGCCTACATCAGCCTGCCCTTCTGCTTCGAGAATTTATGCGGTTACGGTGGTGAGTATGTCCTGCCCACGGACTGGTGGCCCACATGCCAAGCGTGTGTCTTGACACCAAAGGCTCGGAACTCAGAAGGTAAAGGCTCGTTACATAAATCATGGGCCTTGAACTCTTTCGATACGTCGCTTTCGGGGCTACGTGTTCGGACGGTGCCAGCGCAACCTGGCATCCAAGCTTGCCACAGTACGTGACCCACGTTTCGAAGCGATTGTAGGAGCCCAGAGCGGTAAGATGATCGTGGCCATGTTTTGGGAGGAGGCAAGGCACGGGCTTTTTCGGAACGGTCCTGCTGTACAAGGCAGCCCGGGTCCGAACAGCAAGGAACCCGTGCCAAACACAGAACAGAAGAGATCGAGCAACAAGCTGTGATTCCTTTCCAAAACTAGGACTAGGAGGGTGCACCATCCCGAACCCAGACGACATGCGCTGTGTAAGCCTCGTATTGCCTTGCAGCAGATGTTGGCAAAGCATATCATCGCGGTCAGAGCGCTTCACCTTGCCAGGTTTTGATATGTGCAGTGCTCTACGCCACGGCAGTGCGTTGCAACTCTGCCTGTTCATGGCTGGTTTTGACAGCACGTCCTTGGTGGGGACTTTGTGTGTTCGGTGCATCCAGTTTCCTCTCCTGGCTCTTCTCCGCGCAGTCGGCCATCGAGAACGACGACCTAAACTTATCTTGGGTACAGCGTTCGGTGGCAAGACTCGCCAGCCTGCTTCTGATCGTAATCCAAACCTTGTCTTTGGCATCTCTTTGCAGACCCCTGGCAAGAACGAACTTATTCAGATGGCCAGCACGATATCTGTTGGGCGGCTATCTCCTCAACGTAAACTTTCTGGACTTGCTCTTTTTGTCGCCGGAGGTCCGTCGGTGACGGCCTGAGATGCCAAGAGAGGACATCTTCGAGTCGAGTCGCACACTGCGCAAAGGCAGCTGCTGCTTCCGCTGCAGGACGCTGGACCAGTTTGGTGCGAGACCTGGATCATCCGAAGCTTTGGCACATGGTCCTTGCTTTGCTCACAAAAGCAGGTCCGGCATCTTCACATGGATGGCCATGATCATGCCGGTGGTCTGCAACCCAACTTCTCCCAGCAGACATGCAGCAATTCGCAGAAAGCCTCGAAACCGAGTGTGTGAGTCTTATCAACTGGTGTGTGACAGACTTTGCCCGCATGAATATAAATCTGCTTGAAAACCGAAGCTGAAGCATGTTCAATTGACATATATTGACTTGCAAGACCTCGGAGGATCAGAAGGCCTCTGGGGTTTTTCTCTTTTCAAAACAGCTGAAGTTCATCAAAGCCAGCCCGCCCAAAAACTGGACCCGTTGAGTCAGGTGATCTTCCTTCTCCTCGCAGCTCCTGCGTTCCAATATCTGCTCGCACCTCAGCTTTGCCCCATGGCCTGGGTATCCCTGGGCCCATTCTACGAAAAATTAGAATAAGGAGACCCCAACATAGTATTGGTAATTATTTAGGCACCTACATTAACTGGGTTCCTGATACTGATAAAGTTATTAATAGAGTCATAGACGGTCGTGGGGTTGCTCGGAGTGCCACTTTAGATTAATAGCTGTTCGGTTGCTGCATGGTCCCGGCCTTCATTGGCGCCCGAGGTGCATCCAGCTGCCCCAACATGCAATCATGCGAGCGATAGCCGCCGTCAATGCGTCTGGGTCTTAGCAGCTGCTGCATTTCAGGCTGGACACCCTGATAACCCTAGAATCATGGCCCAGCACGTCTTGCAACAGTGGTGCAGGCTGAATCTGAGTTTGAAGGCAAATCCCCTCGCCGCGGCTTTTCGCTTTCTTGTTCCCAATCCGAAGAATCGAAGGGTAGGGTCTTTGCGACAATCATGCCTCCTCCGTGATGGCCTAGCAAATGTGGATGAAGGCATTCATCCCGAGCATTTCTGAGGCCCTTCGCCAGAGCTCGGCCTCTTCGGCAGCCGCTCCTGCCAGAGAGCTCCCTCAGTTCGGCCTTCGGGAACAGCGTGTGAAAACAAAAAATGTGGCGGCGCATGCAGAATGTTAGAGGCAAGGAGCGAAGACGAGCAAAACGGAGTGCTGTGCAAATGACGCGTAGGAAAAGGCAGCTCGAGCGCCAAAGTCAAAGGAAGCAAGCCGCAGCCGCAAAGACGTGGAGGACAAGGTTCTGGCAAGCATGGCAGAAAGAAAAGTTGAAAGAAAAGTGAATTAAGTTTTGAGTCCTTCTGACTCGTACAGGGAAGGAAAAAGCCTAAGCGTCGGGCATCGTCAAGTGCATGCCTTAGCACCGGCTTAGATAGCTGCAGCATGCCGACATTGCTGGCGCAAGTCACCAGTGTTTCCCAGGCTCCGGAACTTGTTTGCAGCCCAAGAAGTCCAAGAGGTGACAATATCCTTGAGGCCAAATCTTGAGCTTGCTCATGCTTGTCTTGTGTGCCAAACAAAACACATGTGATCTGGCATGACGCCGCCGGAATGCAAAGCACAAGTTCTGCAGGATTGGACATCCTTGTCACGGTCTTGATGAAGATGGAGGCACGCATAAGTTCTCACGACACCGTGCCGCGAGGATGAAAGTCGCAGCCTCAAGACCTCAAGAACCCTAAACCCGCGTTAGTGCAGTGTTGTGTAGTGGGATTGTTTGTTAGAATGTGTTTGTTATTGCTTCAATGCTGATAGATGTATGCGCAGACATATCTGTGGCCTCAGTTTCACTGTAGTCGACATGACTTGGAGGAGACTACTACCATACCTCGGCCGTCCTGGCTCGTCAATGTCATGCTTTATTCCATCACTTAAGAACTCTTCTACATGGTGATACCCTATGACCCGCTTTAGCCTCCTCGGCGTAGTCATCGAAGCCCATCAACTAGATACAGTGAGCGTGTGGACTTTGGTGTAAACATGCGGAGATTTGCAATTATATACAGGTTCTATACGCTAGGGCCTCCTGTTTTGGTCTTCCGCATGTTTAGTTGTTTCACCTTGC